TTCCCCGGTGGTAAAGCGGCAGGGGCGTGAAGCCGATCATTCACCTCCAGTAGTGCCGAGGTCAAGAAAATGGATCTCTACATCCACTCCCCCATACGCCTTCGTGGCGTAGTGCTTAATTAGTTAAGCATAAGGACAACTTCGTCTTCTTCATTAATTCCGTTACAGAGGCCTTTTCAGGTACATTGTTTTGGAAATGGATGATTTTGAGTTGTAGTCGTAACACGTCGTAACCAGTCATTTTACTCCCCTCGCCCCAGCTCCTTCCGGTGGCATCTCAGGGGCCCCGCCCAGTTTTCCTCCTCAACATCGGTATGCGAGATGGCCCCACAAAGCCAATCGGAGGATTGAGGAGGGAATGGATTGTAACGCTGTCGGAGCAAGCCCGCCCTCTCGGCCTTTCTGAGCAAGTGGATGGGTAACAAAATTCATTATTGGGATACCATCCATGATTTGTGGTTTTTACGTTTTGTCGAGAATCCAGCGTATTCTGTTTAATATGACTATCGAATTTGCACTTCTGATTTTTTGTTCAGGAAAAGATTCCTGCTGCTGCATAAATCAGAATTGCTTTAGATCCCATTTTCAAAAAGTGTGCCGAGTGAATATTGAATTTAATTTCCCCGCTACTTGAATCTGAATCTACGTGCATCCGGGAAGCACATGTAGTTTATTAGCGAAGCGGCTGCCGCAGTGCGCGCACACTAGCCACCAGAGCCCGAGTCACCAACACACCGTCCATGAAATGCATATCTCTGCCAAGAAACAATAGTGGAAGAACAGTAGGGCACTTAACACTTAATTTTAAATTATTGAAGAGGAATCAGCATGTTTTTTAAATAATAAACTTTTGGACTTAAAACCACAGGCTGGATAGCAGTATTGTCTGTCTACCTGTCTGTGGCTATAAATCCCATTTTTGGACCTTAGCTGCTGTACAGCTCCTAGTCTATATACAGTCGGTAGGATTCCTCGGAAGGGGGGGGATCAGCCGCAAGACCACTACCTACACACATCCGTGCCTCGGTTGGGATTCGAACCCACGATCCCAGTGTTCGAGCGGTCGAAGACAGTCCATGCCTTAGACCGTGCGGCCCCTGTGATCGGCCGTATAGCATTACAGTACAAGGTAACAGTTTACACAAAACTCCGTGGTTTTAGTCCGCAAGCGAACTATACCGAAAGAGCGACCGCCGCTTGTTGGCGAAGTTAGCGCAAAATTTAGCGGATAGAAGGTGTCGCGTGGTCAGCGCAGCGAATCCCCACTGCTTTTAATTTCGGTTCTCTAGACCGGAGCCTCTATTTCCTTGAAATAGCTCCTCAGTTATCTCACGAGGCTCAGTGGACCTCGTTCCAGACCCACTACTTGTCAGAAAATCTGGCAGCGCCGGGAATGGAACCCGGACCTCTGGATCTGTAGCCAGGAACTCTGACCACTAGAACACAGAGGCACAAATCATAATATGTACGTCACAGTGGCTCTGTATGGCCGTAACATGTAAATTTGCATGGAAACACAGACGAAGTGCTGTTTTGAAGACTGCGTGTAGTAATAACCAGCGCAACAGGATACCTCAGTGCAGTATCAGGGAAATGGTGCTGCCTGTCTGGAGAGCAGTGACTGAATTCTGGAAACGTCTTGGCGGGGTTGGCGATGTCGGCTAGACATCGATTGTAGATCGAAAACGTACTTATCCCGCTTCGAGACGCTGCCTCTGTTAACGGGATTTGCGGATTACGATTGAACTTCGCGTAGTGTAATGCATTCGTTTGAGTGGGGAGTGATGTAACAGAGGAATGGAGAAAAATTCGTATAAATGGAATTCAGTCTATGAACTTAAACCTACGCTGTGACAGTGATTAAATCAACAATTACGGATTGGCAAGATACGTAAAATGTAAGTACAGTGAGACAAGAAAGGCAAGAAAAATTTGTCTCCAAAGTCTGAAAAGTTAGACTTGAAAGGATTCTGACGATGGCGTATACTGTACTTCTTTTGGACTTCATCCATCGTCTGGTATGTAAAAGACAAAAGACCACGACGTTTCGGAGACTGGATCTGTCTCCGTCTTTGGGTGGGTAGGGAAGGATAAACCTACTCAGTTGGGCCCGTTAAGGTTCGGCCACACAGAGCGCTACGTTCGCTATGTTCGCTATACGAACAGGAAAATATCTCCCCTTATTGCCCATGTGACTGGCCACACAGACTTCCGTACGCTACGTACGCTATGTTCCCTATGTTAGCTGCGTCGCAGAATGTACACAGCGTACGTAGCGAACATAGCGTAGCGCTCTGTGTGGCCGAACCTTTAGAAAGAGCTAGTCTCAATCACTGGTCTTTTGTCTTTTACATACCAGACGATGGATGAAGTCTGAAAAGTTGTTAGACATAATCTTAATGAGATAATTTTATTAAAATGAAACTCGCGCTGTATCCTAATTGCTGTGGCTTAGAATACCTCCACCCGCTGAGAGTCGTAGGAGGCCGCGAAAAAGGAACCCAGTGCCTGGGGTATAACTGGGCCATCATCCAGGTTGGGGAGTTGAACGCAAGGCTGTGACGACCTTGTTCTGTAAAAAAAGTAATATTGTTGCGAAATTCAAAGAAGTGAAAACCTGGACGGTCTAATCACGACAAACTGGCAGACTAAATGGGGCACGCGGTGGCGTAATTGGTTGAGGCATAATGCTACAATGCGAATTCGAGTCCCGATGAGGTGGATTTTTTTTTCAATCGACCTAATCCTTCTAGCCGCATTATGACCCTGTTTTCGACTCAGTCTCTTAACAGACGTGAGTACCAGGAATCTTCCTTAGGGATAAAGGAAGGCCGGCGCGTAAGGCTGGCAACCTTACCGCCATCTGTGAGCCGATTGCCTGGATAATGTTGTACCTTCAACATCTCATAACCCTATGGGCCTTTATGGCTTGTTACAGGGATAGCTTTACCATTTTTTTACCCGACAGACTGAATAAGGACTTTAAAATAAGCTGAAGGAATATCCTACCTAACGACGGACGCCTACTTTTGTCACGTATTGTTGTAATATTTACCTAGCAACGTATGTTTTCCTAGCCGTTGCTTAGCAGCGGATGGTTGGTAGTCCGTGATCGGTGGCGCTTGATTCAATGTGGGCTGTTCGCACACCGATGATGATGTAAAAAATGAACTCGGTGAAATATATGGGGCTTGGGCACAGCGGGTAACGACGAAACTTCGTAATCCATGACATTAGTGAGCTCTGAATACGCAAATAGTTTTACAAGTCACACGTTTTCGGTTTACATGGTCGGGTGGCATTTTTACCGTGGACGTGCAGCGGCCTGCAAGAAGTGCCCCACTAGTCAGTGCTCTTCGCATCACTGGTCTGGCACAGAGCCCGTCAGAATGTCTCACGCCGGACACGCGTAATCTCTGTGCCCATAGGCAATGCAGACAGTACACATGTGCGCTGTCATATCAGATAATTTCGAAAGTAAGAAATTCGGTCACTGTTACGCTACTTGTCCCAAGTTCTGATGCACTCTCGTGGGTTCGTAGAGTAAATCCTTAAATAATCAAGGACTCCATGATGTATACGCTGTTTTATTTTAAAATATGCAAACTTGTATTCTTCCTTTTTTAGTACAAAACAGGAGTGGATGTATCAGGCCGGGACAGCTCAGTCAGTATAGCGATTAGACTACGGGTTGGACGGCTGAGGAGCCAGGGTTCGATTCCTGGCAGGGTCTCAAGAGATCCTTCAACGTAACGTTTACAACCGGTTCTGGGTCCCACCCAGCGTCCTGTAGAATGGGTACCGGGGGATCTTTTTCCACGTGGTGTAGAGCGGCATAGCTACCCACCTGCGTCTAGATCTGATGTTAGGAATGGTGGAGCTATACTTCCACTACTCCCATACGCCCTCATGGTGTCGTGCTAATTTAATTAAGGTCCTGGGATAACTTTGCCTAACTGTGGTGATACGAATCTCCCTTTGTCAGAGCTTTCTTTTGTAATTCTCCCACAAAGTTATACGAGAACGGGGTTGGTTACAGAAATGGTTGTGGGCAGATTAAAGAAAGTAAAGGGTAAAGTTAACTCCCTTCAAACAGCCTTCGGTACCCATTTTATAGGAGGCTGAGTAGGCTCAGGAGACGGTCTGGACGTTATGAAATCTCTTGCCTCGGACGGGAATCGAATCCCGATTCCTCTGTCGTCCAGCCAATAACCTAGTTGCTATACCGACTGAGCTAGATAGGCTTCCAAAAGTACTGTCCTTCACTTGCCACGGATGATGGAAGGAAAAAAGTACTTGTATGAATCATTCAGGTAGTTTATTGGCCAGTGCGTTTGCTTAAGTGTCCAGTATATGTAGACTGAATTGTAATTATGGAGGTCAGGATGACGGTGTTGGACCCGTTTCACATAGTGGGGGGTGGAGTCCAGCTGGGTCCACTCGGCAAGTCTGCCACTCATTGGTCTATTGTACCTGCCCCGGGTGATTATGACGATGGAGAATTTGGTGGAATTAAGATTGGCAGGGGAAACCGAAGTCCTCGGAGAAAACCTGCCCCAGCGCCACTTTGTCCACCACAAATCCCACTTGACCAGACCCGGGCTTGAACCCGGGTCGCCGCCGTGGGAAGGCAGCGACTAACCGCTTGAGCTATGGCGCGGCCTTCCAAACTAAGTTCCGAAGCGGTGATATTCGTTTCCAGGACTGGAGGAACCGTAGACATGCATTCGCACTCTACTTCAGACGGCGCATTTTCGTATTCTAGGTATTCTAGGTTGTAAACTCGTTCTGGATACCGTGTTTTTAATCTTTCGCTTGGTTGTTTTTTTTTCAGATTTTTTTCTCAGTGCTTCAACGCAAAATCTCCGTTCCTCATTCCTTCCTAATTTATCTGTTAGCATCGTTCCAGGTTGTGTTAGTGCAATCTTTGTAGCTGTCAGAATGTCACGTCTGTTGTACATGTAGCGCATTTACCCAGCAGCCGTTTGCATTGCTTACAGAACGGAGAACGAGAAAGTGAACCACGTGCTGCTCTTCACAGTTCTGAACCCAGTGTATCCGATCACAGTGGTGAGTATATCTGCCTGAAACATCTTTGAAGGTACGTCATCACGAAATAGTGATCTATACCGCTACGAAGTTTTCGGCATAGCGAGATCTGCATAAGGTTGCATCTAGGAATGACGTACCTTCAGAGATGTTTTAGACAAATTATAACAAGTTTTATAAGAATTCTTTAATTATAGTGCGTCTGGTGATTGTACTTTGTAGATTTTAACGTCATTTTATTCTGATGGTTGATGTTTGTATGATATGTGAAGAGTGACGCGTGACGTGGTCTGGGATCGAATACTGGCCGTCGCGGTGGTAAACCTCCAACTAACCGTCTGAGCCTGTTTGCGTACAAAGAAAGGTACATGTCGTGATTTCTCGGTATTTGTTGTTTGATGGCTGTGGTTTATTGGGGCCAGCTCTTGTGGTGTTGACCTGTGGGAGGCCGAGTGTGATGAACTCGCATGAATGACAGAAAATGTGCTGCTGGTTATTTCTTGCAGACAATAAAAGCGACAAGCTGTGAATGGAACTGGCAGGCGCGCCCGTGTTTGTATATCAATCGGGCCCTGCATCTTTTTCACGTGAACCGTGCCAAAAACCACGTCATTTATGTTCACTCTTCTCCTGTTTCTATCTCATTCATGGATAAAGCAGCATGTGGAACGTGTCGGCTAACCCGACCACGGGAGCGTTCAGTGTATATCTTGTTTTCATGTTTGCTCTGTTCAATCGAATGAATGGAAAATTGACTCCGAACTGCTCGTCGAATTTTATAAAGTAATTTGAGAATTATATCAAAACTTGTTTAAAGCGATATCTGGAATAAATTAAAACCCTTCACATAAAAAAAATTCTCCGGTCACAACGTGGGATAAAACGCAATGTGAAAATTGTTTTCAGGAAACAGAACTATTTTTTTGGGGAGGAGTATTATATTACAACGCTATTAGTAGCTTAAGTAATAGCGTCGATTGGATATGAATTGGATGACATACAGGAAGGAAGAAAATGGCCGTGGTCTGTTCGAGGTACTCCCGCGGGCAGTACTGATGAAAACCACGAAAACCCTCAGGAAAGCCGGTGACTCGCCCGAGATTCGAACCCACGCCCAGAACATTGCCGCTACGCCAGTTTATTCGGTAAATGGAATTCCTTGAGCACCGGAGAGCAAATGCGGTAGAACTGAAACATAGGGTGTCCGTAGTACCCATTCTTGAACAAGGATTTGTTCCGGTGAAAGTGGACATAAACGCGATGTTAACCATTTGAGAATAACGGTGGTGGTCAAGTTCATTTAAGACTGTCGAGCATTCGAGCATCAAAAATAAGATCGATCCAGTTAACTTTTTTTCATGCAGGAATATTCACCAATACGTTTGGCATCATGCCACGCGCATGCTTGAAAAAAAATTTTTTTACTTGGAAGCATTGAAGAATTAGAAGACATTTACTCTACCAAAATATGCACGATTGTAACACAGAAAATCAGCGTGGCGGCGTAGTACTGAACTGTAGAAATAGAAAACGGTGTCTTGGAAGGCGTTATAGCGACTGACATCTTTTAAAGGCTCACATCGTTCTCTGTCGTTAACGTAACAAAATTTGTAGGTATATTTGTGCCTGTGTGGCCGGGCCAGGAACCGGAAGCTGAAAGTAGAATTAGTTTCTTTTTTGCATTCTTAAAACAGTACGTTCAAGAAAGTTGTATGTTATATAAAATGACTTTCCTGTCAGCCCCAGTTTAGAACTGCCCAGCCCTTTAATATTGTTGTTGGTGGTAAACTAGGTGGCGCGTCTAAATTCGAGGAGTACGGAGAGGTTGCCCCCATTGGAATCGTGTTTATACGAAGTTTGATGAAAAATTCTGCGTTGATTATTCCACACTAGAGTTTTTCAGACATTTTTACTGTCAGTTTTCACCCCCTTTTTTGAGAAAACTGAACTCAGTCCCCACTCAGTTTTAGTTACCATATTCTTTTGATGCGCTGTAACGTTTTTAAAACTATTCTTCTTATGAACATGGGGTAACCGCCTCTTGAAGATGGAGTTCTACCGGTGAGAAACATTGCCGCCCTGAATTGTTCATCCATATCAGTTGATGCCACAAGATCCGCTGTTATGTGAATCATTCCTCTCTTAAACTTCATTTTTGTTTGTCTTCAGAGTGACGGACCAGACTTCGCACCCATAAAAACGTCGGACAGTTTGACATACAGTAAGGTACATGACTTCATGCGAAACGTGACTGCTGTTAGGCCGAATGTATTCTGTGCCTATGCACTGTGATATCTATACGATTGTCTAGCTTTGTCAGAAGGTAAAGTTGCCCCTGTAACAGGCTGTGGAGGCCCATAGGGCTATGAGACGTCGAGGATCCCACATATTCTAGACAGTAAGGTCACAGATGGCGGTGAGGTCAGCATTACGCATCGGCCGCCCTTTATCCCCCATGAAGATTCCTGGTGGTCATTTCTGTTAGTGGCTGAGCCGACTTGAGGGCCATAATGCGGCTGGAAAGATAGGTAAATTAAAAATATCCAATGACCTTATCGGGAATCGAACCTGCGACCTTGTGGTTTGTAGCATAGTGCCTCAACCAGCTACGCTCCCGCGTACCCACAGTACTGTTTAGTGGCCTTGTTAATTAAATTGGTGAGTACTAAGTTTGTGTCTGTTATAAACGAACATCAAGACAAAATGAATAGAGAGTGGGTGGATTTGAACTGCTGACAGCAGTGACTGTGGAGAGTACTATCTTCTTGAATGTAATGCCCTGTAGTCCGGTAGAAGCAGGCATTAAGTAAAGCCAGATTACGTAGCTTGATGTCTTCTTTCCTGGCTTCCTCGGCTGCATGGCATTACATCGAGAAGACTAGAAGTTCTAAAGTTGGTTCTGGAAGCCTGGTTATTAAGTTCTTTGGAAGGTCTAGAAGGCGGTATATCCGAAGAATGCTGGCTGGCATTTCGGATTTTTATTTTATAACTCGTTCCCCATGTAACTGTACACTTGTGGTACTGTGTACTGCATTTTCGTATGTTGCTCTTAAGGAAAAGGCTTCAGCGATACACCAGTGCAACTTGAAACGGTTTGCGCTCTGTGGTGTTAGCTTTCACTTATGTCGAAGTATGGGGACTTGTTTGGTATCGATTGTGTTATTCTGTGGTTTCTAATATTTCATCTGTATATCTTACATTCTCAGAGTACATAGTGGGTATCTTTGTCGTGATTGGACCATTGAGGTCCTTGGAGATATTGTGTTGCAACAGTTGTACAAGCAAAGGGCCAGTGGGTTTGATCCGTCTCGATTCTCTAATACATCGATAGTTGAAATGTGCATTTAGCGTACTGAACGCACGGCATGGTGCAGTTTGCAACCCAGATATGGCATCTGTGCTCGGAAATCTGGTATTTGTATTGAGGTTATTCGTTGTTTTCCACGGTTCATGAAGGCAAATGCAATGGAAACACATTGGAGTTCGTTGTAACCATTTCCTTCCGGATCTTATGACCATCAACACCCTGGTCAATCACATTATAACCTACGCCCCTTTAACAGAACAATGAAAGAAACACGGAACAGGCTGATGACAGAAAGTAGTCCTCCGACCCACCGAGTGCGTTAACGCGTGAATTCTCCTGCACGCGGGTATATGGGAAAGTAAAAACGGACGGAGTCCAATCAGGAATTAGGATGTGGCGTGTGAAATATGAGAATCCTTTAGGTTGATATACACTAAATGAATGGAAGCGAAAAATACACGAATATCGGGCTTGGATGTCTTATTATTTGTTCGGTGACTCGCCTACACTACAAGGAGCGCTGGATGTCTTTATTATTTGCTCGCTGACTCGTCTACACTACAAGGAGCGCTGGATGATTATTTGCTCGCTGACTCGTCTATACTGTAAGGAGCACTGGTTGTCTTATTACTGTATTTGCTCGCTGACTCGTCTACACTACAAGGAGCGCTCGGTTTGGGCTAAGTTCGGTGTTGTTCCCTACTCTTTGAACTCACGGTGACTTCGCACGTCTCTTCTGTACCCCCTCCAGACTTCTTCACCCCTTTTTTAATGCCTAAACGAAGAGAAACATTAATCTATATACCTTGGCCTTGCAATGCCTCGTAACCAACTAGTTCTCAGGCTTCTTCCTTGGTTGTAGTTTATAAAACGAATTCGTCGGGTCGCTTAAATATTTTCTTTCCCTGTTCTGCTATTAAAGTTTCTGCCGTATCGTTTGACCACTCCATGATGTAAAGTGAAGAGCAGTAAATACAGAGAAGAATTGAAAGGGAATGCTTGAGAGCAGAAGAGAACGGCAGACGTGACTTGATCTTTCCTAGCCACACAGCACACGAAGTTCCTTTGATGCATTGCTCTGCAAGCGGAACAGTCACGCCGAACGAACCACTTTTATGGCTTCATTGATATCGTGCACACTAACTGAAATTGGGAGTTCGTCGACCGAGTCCTTTAGGTTTTGTGTTTTCTTTGGGCAAAATGAACAAACAATTTGAAGATCGTGCCTGTTCGACCGCACGTTTTGTCTCCGAAACCGGCTCAAAGATTTCATTAAAATTTGGTTTTGAGGTCTACAATGAATATATTGAACCCTAATCGAACACTATCGATTTTATCACAGACTTATACGAACAATTTGTACGCAGTTTAAAATATACGACCTATTAAGAACTGCAACTTTGATTTTAAACACTTTTCACTGTGGTGGAGATTTAGTAAGGTATAGGGCCGCGCCATAGCCCAAGCGGTTAGTCGCTGGCTTCGCACCGCGGCGGCCCGGGTTCGATCCCGGGGTCTGGTCAAGTGGGATTTGTGGTGGACAAAGTGGCGCTGGGGCAGGTTTTCTCCGAGTACTTCGGTTTCCCCTGCCAGGCTTCATTCCATGAATTGCTTCACAGTCACCCTCACCTATCATCTGGGGCTGGTACAATAGGCCAGAAGTGGCCGCAGTGCAAGGGACTTTGTCCCACTCCACTAGCAATAAAAATAGTAA